TTAAAAATTAATATAAAATATTTATATTGTAAATATTTGACTGAAAAATTCACTGGACAATTTTATAATATAAGTAATTTAATTTGTGAATAAAATAAATAATATTCATTTAAAAATAAAACTTACTTAAAAATTTTACAAAAAAAAAATATTAATTTAAAACATATTACTACAGTTTTAAAGTAATTGTAAATGAAAAAAACCCACCTAATTTAACTAAAATCAATTATTGTGTTAAACTTTATGTAAAACATTTATACTAATTACTAATATTTGACAGAAATTTCTTTTATTGAAAACAATATTATGAATAATTTTAAAAAACAAGTAATTTAATTAATAAAAATAATTTTTAAAAGTTCATATAACAGAGAATTTTAAAATACAGCTAATTTAAAATTTTTACCAAAAAGTATATTGATTCAAAACATATTATAGGACCAAAAATATATCGGAAAGACTAAAAATAATGTTTACTAATTTTAGAAAAATAAAAATAAAGTAAAAAATTTTGGAAAACAAAATTAAAATTCACTTATTTTATAGAGATTAAAAATATGTTTAAAAATTAATTATATTACAAAAAATAAAAAAATAAAATTTACAAATTTTAAAAGAAAATAAAAATAAAAAATTTAAAAAATTAAAATTAAAACTCACTTATTTTATAAACATTAAAAATATATTTAAAATTTAATTATATTATTATTTACACACATACCCGTGCATAACATGAATACAATTACTTGGTGTGCAACAAGGGAATGTACTTCTTTCTCTATGAATATCTCAAGAAATAGTTCAATTTTAAAATCAAACTAGACTGATTAAGTCGACTCATAGTTGTCCAATTTGTTAACAAAATTTGGACAGTTCAAAACCGGAACCAATTGGCGAAGAAAACCAGTCACGCTAAAAAAAAAATATTTATTTTTGAAAATTTTAAAATTTAATTTTAAATATATTTAAAAAAAATGTATTTAAAAGAATTACAAATTAAAATAAATTATTTATAATACTTGTCTTAAAAATATAATTTAATTATTTATGTTAATTTAT